CCGCCGCGTCCCAGCGGGCGGGGGCCGGGCCTTACTCCTCTTCCCGTCCCCGGCCTCCCCCAGGCGCCGGCGCGGCCCCGCGGGGCGGTGTGGGGAGCTGCGCGGTGGGTGGGTGGGTGAGTGAGTGAGTGAGTGAGTGAGTGGGCGGGCTCCGTGCGCGGTGGCGGGACGCCGGCGCCTCCCCTCAGCCCGGGGCTGGGTTCTGTTGAGCTCCGGACCCCGGCAGTAGACCTCGTTGCGGGGCGTGTTGGTGCCGTGCCGCGCTGTGCCGTGCCGTGGGCGCACGGGCGGGAAGGGCTGCGCGCCGGGCCCGAAACGGGCGGTCTGGTGTTGCTGCTCCTCATGCTAACGCTGTGGGATACTCCTGAATTAACGTGTCTGCTTTGCCTTTTGTTTCATATTTTGCTTCGGAAATTTATGCGAGATTAATAGAAGTTTAATCTTTTATAGGAAGAAGAGAAATTAATCCAGCAGGAACTAACCAGTTTGAAAGCAACAGTTTCAGCTCCCACCACAACACTGGTGAGTTCTGTTAGTGGTTACGTCTGAGAGCAGCAGACCGAAGGTGAAGAAAAAAGGTGCTCTCACTGTATTTGCCAGGAGGACTATGCACGTTATCTGCATTAGAGATACTTCAGCAGCAGCATTCAGTGGTACCAGTGTCTGTGGTTTTGCAGCGAGGTTAAAATAGTGAAGAGACTCTAATTCTGTTTGATAGGAATAAACTGCAACAGTATGGTGGCCACAATCTGTAGGGTCTGAAATAATGCAGCCAAAAAAAGCTGGGTGATGAGGTGCTTCCTTCAAATAACATTCTTTGCAGGCTGACATTGTTCTTGTAATTAATTTGTGCTGTATAAGAAACTGTGCTTTGTTGTATGCCCTGATGCTCATGTCTGAGTTGCAGGAGTTGATATATTCTAGTTTGAGTTAGTTAATTCTCACTCAGTCCCATGAGTAAGAATTTTTGAAGGGAAAAATAAGTTTTACCTCGTGCATAGTGAAAACCCATCCTAGGTCAATGAAGTGACTGGCAGAAAATAATTTGCAGTGCTATCATTGAACACTTCAGCTAATTTGTATTTTTTATGTTAGTCATAATCTACTGTTGATCACATGCATGCTAATCAAAGTAACATCTTTAAGGGTAGTATATGGGGAGTTCTGCCCTTATAGTGAAAAAAGGATATCAATTCCCAGAAGAGGTGCCTAGCAAAGGAGAAATTACGAGCACCTGCTTTTAGAAAATGTGTGTGAGTGCACATATGTTTCTATCAGGTGAAGTCCTCTACTTCATTAGAGCAGTGAAGAAGAGCATAAAAAATTACTAACTTAAAATTCTCAATCATTTATTTCTTGTATTTCAGAGACTGATGAAAGAATGTATGGTGAGACTTATCTATTGTGAAATGCTGGGATACGAGTCTTCCTTTGGATATATCCATGCGATCAAGCTTGCACAGCAAGGAAATCTTTTGGAGAAAAGAGTTGGTATGTGCATGGAGCTGTAGCCTTAATAATATTCTCCAACTGTATTTTTAAAGTTTCTTAGGATTTATAATTAATGTAAAAATGCAACTTGCTTGAAGTGTGCTTCTGCTTTCTTGGTCTTGTTTCGTAGTCCCTCACTCCTCTTTGAAAATAACTAAATCCCTAGTTTGTGAGCTGCTCTGTATCTGCTTGTAGAACAGAAGGCAGGGAAAATAATTGATTTATTTTGAATCATCAGTTCTTTTGTTGTTTTGAATTGCAGCACCAATAAACGCGTAATTTACGAGAAGTGTTACAAAAGTGTTACACACCAAGCTGAAAGTGAGTTTGTTGTGTTTTCTGGTTTCTTTTTCAAGGACTGTAGTACAAGGTTAGACAAATATGTTAATGTCAGACATTTGTCAGACAAATATTTTCTGTTTTGGTGCCTGTAGGATTTTTTTAGTTTAGAAACAGTTGTAGGAGATGAGGCAAATAAGGAGATCCTTATAGCATAGGTGCAGAAGTTCCTGAGGAAATTGTAAAGGGTAGTTCAGATTTCTTTGAAACTTTATGCTGTTGTGATTTCCTTGCCTGCCAGTGTGGCTATTAACTTGTTTCCAGTAGATTTAGTTTGGAGTAGCTGTCAGCCTTTCTCATCTGGAGTGTTTCCTTGGGGTTGCCCATTCAACTGCCTAGTGAAGACATTTCTTCTTGTTTGCAGAGAATATGTTTAACTCGAAGCAATGCTATGTCTGCATACACAGAAGGAAGGCAATGTCTTGCAGGATATGCTTGTGTGATATCCTTTGTTTGAATTTCATCTGGATCATCCACTCAAGTATTGCAGTTTCTGAGAGAATGCATTACAAATGATGTTTTAATGTTGCTTTATCCCTGACTAATGAAAGCCAGTCCACAGATGCTCTGGTAGAGATTAAGAAATTCTTATCTTCAATAAACCTGGGAGGGCAGGTGGGAAGCTGTTTTGAAGAAAACTTTGTGACTTCTGTGTCTTGTTATTAGTCAGTTTGAGATCTTCCCATACTAGGGCCCTTTTTGAGAAGGCTTTGGTGAAGCAGCCTTTTGTTTGTTTGTATTTAATGTAGATGTCTTAAAGTTTTCTAGAGACAAAGCACCCTTAAGCTTTGATCTGGTAAAAGGATGTTATCAAGTGTGTGTGTGTGTGTTTTTGTTGTTGTTGTTCTGCAGTTGTCCATGATACATGAGGATAAACTTGTCTGTTCTTGGTGCAATGTACCAAAGTTTGTGTTAAGGAACTGTTGGTTGATCCAATTAAGATGGCTTACTCTTTTACCCAATATAAACCTCAGTGAAGGAGAGTGAACTACATTTTTGCAGGTGTGCTAAGCTGATTAATTCCATAGCTTCACAAGCAGATAGGTCAATCTGATAGCCTATACAATACAGTTATTTGTATTCAAGTTATTAATTTTGATCCCTAAGCGCTGAATGAACCAAGACCTTTTTTAAGATCTATCTCAGTAATGCAAATATTGTCATGAATTGTGGTGCACCCTCCCCACCCCCCTACTTGGAAGTTCCTTAGTTTAAAAGGAAGAGGAGTCTTGAAGAAAAAGGTTTCTGACAGATTTCTTTTCTGAGGTTCTGAATTGTTCCCCCCTTGTTAAGAAATAGCAAAGCAGTTTTTGGGGTAGGATAGTGAATTTATTCTTCTGTATTCCAAATTGAATATAAAATTAATTTGAAATGGAAGTTTATTTTTTGAAAAAAACAAAACAAAACCAAAAACCCCAGATATTAGGAAGTGCATTTGTGTTGTCTTGAAATAATATACTCTTCTCCATGCAGAGAAGATATTAATTTTCCAGGAAGTGATTTCTCATGGTGCTCTTGTCTGCTCTTTAGCTGTAGCAGTGTTGTAATGTCTGTCTTCTCACAGCTTATGAATTCTTAACTGTTATTTGTTGAGCTTTACTGCAACTTAAATGTAACTGATTTGCCTGGAAATAAAGTCTTGATATTTAAAACATGAGCAACTGTCATCCAACAGTGGGGTTTTTTTATGTTGGATTTTTGTAATTTTTTGAGTTAACTCTCTTGGATAACAGACAGTCTTATGCTGTCTATCTTGAAGTTGCTTATTGCTTAAAAGTAGTAATGGAGGCTGCTTTCTTTTTTATAGGTTACTTGGCAGTTTCTTTATTTCTACATGAAAATCATGACCTGCTACTTCTACTTGTGAACACAGTTGTGAAGGTACAGTGTTTTTGGAGGTCTGGAGGTAAACTAAACTTGGACCAATTCTTCCCATTTTGTCACACAACATCTAAGCTGTGTACTCGTTAGTTCTGTCTTGGTCTCTTTAAAGTTGCTGTTTCTTTGGTTAGCAATGACAATTTGAAATGGCTTTCCCTGGCTTTTTAAATTTCATCTGGCATTCCTGTTGTTAAAGCCATATTTTAAGATTTTTTCCAAAGGAGATATACCATCAAATGTCTTTTATAAAATGTACAGATCATATACATTCTCAACTCCAGGAGGAGCCATGCATGCATATTCCAGTGTAAATTTCTGCTTTTAGCTGACAGCAAGTATCTGTTGGCTTCTTTGAGTTCTTTTGGTAATTTTGATAGCAAATAGAAATATGCTTTGGAGTGACACTGAAAATCTGTTACCTAATAATATTTCATAGGTGTCATTGTCTGTACTACTGCCTCTTACATGGAGCAATTGTGACTTACTGTAACACTTGCTGCATAATGATTACTTTTATATTACAGTAGGCCAAAGTCACAGAAATTATAGACTGAAAGTGATGCTCATTTTGTTGTTGTGATTGAAAACTGTTTTATAACCTTTAAAAATTTTACTTGAAACTAGTAAGGATATAGAAAGAAGTGAAAAATTAGAGTCAAAGAACTAAACCAAAATGAGGACTAAGACCTATTTGGGACAAATGGCCAGAGCACATAATGTTGGGAGCTGGAAATCTTCAAGGTTTCACTTGTTTTGAAAAATAATTCTGGTCTTGTATTTCATTAATTCATCCATCCTTTTTTGGTTTAAGGTTGCAGTAAGCTATATCTACTATTTTTAATTGTATTTGGGACAGACTGTTAATTTTTATTCTTTCTTTTGTAGAACGTTACGTGTAATTTGCATTCACTTCTTAGGGAGTAGGTAATGTCTTATTTTAGTGTACAAATATGTAATTGGCAGTATTCTTGAGCTTGCTTTTTTTCTTTCTCTTTTTCTTTTTCTTTTTTTTAAATTCTTTGGGCTAGAGCAAAGGCACTAGAGAAAATACTGTTGAATTCTGTGAGAAGTGACTCATCCCACTGATCCAACTGGGAACTTGGCATAGTTTTGCAATCATCAAACTATTTCAGTAAATAAACATTGATTGTAGCTATTGTAGATTGTGTTAATCTCGCATATGTTTAAAATATGAATGTAGTTCTAAAACACAAGTGTGAGAAGCTGCTTGTTCCTTCTTCCTGTCTAAGAGAAGAAAAGAACCTGATTAGCTCAGTGAGAGCTGACACTTCTCAAACACGAGCAGACAACAGGATGGCTGGCAGCAGGATGCTTGCTGTAGGTGGGCTGTGTATGTGGCCTAGATCCAGCCTGCTTGTGAAAGATTTGGGGTATGTCTGTGCAGAATTTAAAAGTCTAAATGAAAAGTGACTGTCTTATTTCAATGATTGTAACAGGACTTACAGAGCACTAATCTAGTAGAGGTGTGCATGGCATTAACCGTTGTCAGCCAGATCTTTCCAAGGGAGATGATTCCAGCTGTTCTTCCCCTAATAGAAGACAAGCTCCAGCATTCTAAGTACGTATTCATGTATAGAATTTCAAGTGGCCTTGTACGATTGAATGACTTCATTTTGTTGGTAGGTTTAGTAAACTGATTTTTTTTTTTTTCTGAGTTGGTCTTTCTAATTATTACCTTCAGTAATTGTTCCTCCCCTAGTTTTTCTCTTGGATTCTTGTCTCATTTATTTGAAATATTGACTGAGTATTGGATAGGTATTAATTTTTTTCATAAGCAGTTTTGAGAGAGAAATGTAATTGAATTTATCTCCTGAAGTCCTTTTAATAAATAAGTGGATGAAGAATTGTTTGTAGAGGAAGTTGAGAAACAGATTGAGATCCTTGAAGTATTTCACTGATGCTGTTTTGTGTTTTTTTTTTTTAATAAGGCTCTTCATAGAAACTTTGGTAAAAGTGTATTTGCCGATATCAATACCCATGAATGGTTTGATTCTTCATTTATAATATTCCACACACAGAGGATAACATTATAAGTGATTAGAAAGGGAAATACAGAATGAACTGACTCAGTAACTTCTCACTTAGATGATACTGGCAAAGTAATTTGTTATCAAATATGTAAAATATGGTTTCTCATGTCTCTCATGATGTTCTGATGGCTAGCCACTCAGTGTTACATTGCTGTAAATGTAATCAGTGCAAGTTGTTTTGTTAAGTCAAATGTTTAAAATACACAAGCAGCTCAATTTTGTTTTATGTAAATCTCATTTCTCTTCAGGGAAATTATCCGAAGAAAAGCTGTTCAAGCTTTATATAAATTCTATCTCATTGCTCCTAACCAAGTTCAGCATATTCATGATAAGTTCCGGAAAGCCTTATGTGACAGAGATGCTGGAGTCATGGCTGCTTCTTTGCATATTTATCTTCAAATGATTAAGGTAGGCAAAGAATTAGAAGCACAATTGGACATATATATATATATATGTGTGTGTGTGTGTGTATATGTATGTATGTGTATTTATATAAAAAAATTAAATAAACAGTGTGCTGTACAGAAGTTTTGCAGAAAAAACTTATTTGTAATCATTAGAAAAGTTAATTTACATGTTCATGGATATCTGTGGTGTTTGTTTATGCTAGCTCTCAATTTAGCTTGACACATCCACTTCTTGCATGATCTGAATGCTGAGCATCATTGACATCCTTAACTAGAGGATCTAACTTCTGCAGCATGTTAAAGCATTTGCTGAAATTTGCTTGTACATTTTTTAAATATTTTTTTACTGTTGCCTTTGAGTTAGTTTCACTCCCTTTGCAAATATGCAAGAAAATGGTATAGGTTTAAAGTGAAGAGGTTACAAGTGTTGGTGGATGAGAGAAGTTTGATTTAAAGAAATGATACTATCAGTATCAGGTATTTTGATCTTACTCAATTTGTGGATTATTTTTACTTTGAGGTACTGTATCAAAATATTTGAATTGTATTTCTTTTTCATTATGTAGGAAAACTCATCTGGATACAAGGACTTGACTGGGAGTTTTGTAACGATCCTAAAGCAGGTAGTGGGAGGAAAGCTGCCTGTTGACTTCAACTATCACAGCGTGCCAGCCCCGTGGTTACAAATTCAGCTTTTAAGAATATTGGGGCTGTTAGGAAAAGATGATCCAAGGTAACCAGATCTTTCTCTGTAATTCATATTTTGAAGGTACAAAGAATACAGTTATGAGCTATACTTCATAGACAGCTTTCTGTTTTGTTTTGTTGTTTTTTTTTAATCAGGATTTAAGTTTTGAATGACTTAGACATTTGTTATTAACTAATAACAGTGAGCATTGTTACGGTATAGAGTGTCTGTGAGCAGATACTTTTTAAACTGCAAAATTAGTGTCTTAGTTTCTGGATTGGCTAAACAATTGATTATTGTGGAATATGTTTGAAATATATTTTTTTCTGAGACTTCTGTTAGTAGGTTACCAAACAACTGTGTGAAAATCCAGAGTGAAGATATTTTTTAAAGTGGTGTCATTTTGTGAGGACCTAGTTGTCTGTGATCTTTTTCCTGTTGATGTTTTGTTTTTTTTTATAAAAGTGATGAGGAAAGTGTTTTTATTCTTGTGGTATGGTAAATGTTTATTTTGAAAGCTGCAAACATCTTGTTAGATGCCATTTTGAAACATGTTCTAGAGCTCTTCCATGTTAAAGCAAATCTGTGGATATGAATAATTTGTGTTAACACATTCCAATACTAGTGTTTGAGCTGTTTGGCAAAACCACGTGCTTGTTAGTGCTGTGAATAATCTTGATTTCTTTTTTTCTTGTTAAACAGGACAAGTGAATTGATGTATGATGTTCTAGATGAATCTTTAAGAAGAGCAGAGATAAATCATAATATTACATATGGTGCGTGAGGTTATTTTGTGCAATTATAAGTATTTGGAAAGATTGAAAATGTGATTGTGCTAAAATATTTATGCAGTACTTTTGAAAAATCTAATTATATTCTTAGTAAACAACTGTATTAAGTGTCCAACTAGTAAACTCTAAAACAAGTGATATGTCACTGTACAGTGCAGTTTTTTATCATTGAAGGAAAACACTTTTATTTAGTGGGAATTCATCTTGACTCAAAAGCTTCTATCCTCTGTTTGCATTGTCCTTGCCCTTAATTAGAGAAAGTCAGCTTCTTCATGAAAGCTCTTACTGAACATTGCTTAAGTTGAATTAAATGATAAAGAAAAACCCTAGTGATACAGCTCTGTTTATTAGAAATGCTTAGACCTTCTTTGTTGCCTGAGAAAGAAGGGAACTTTGTTGCCTACAAAGGGGAGCTTTGGGGAAGTATTCTCTTCTAGTAAATAATAAACGAAGAAGCATCTCTCAGAGGTTTAGCATATTCAGTTTATTACTTCTTTTAGGCAAGAACATAGATGTTGGGAGGTGTGTTAGCTTATAATACAGACAATTTGCACTTGCAGTTGCTAAGAGTTAAACATTAAATTTGTTTTAAGCACTTAGGGGGCCAGAGTGGTCAGTTTATTATGATTTATACAAGGACATAGAATTTAGATATGTAGTTTTTATTCACATATAGTAAGGATCATTCAGTTAATGATCCCAGACAAAAGTAAAATGTAATTCTGAGTAATTCCTTTTTCTTACACAAAGTCCTTGGTTATTGCATGTTTCTTGCTTCTTGTAGGCAGTTGAGCTGTTAATATGCTAGTCTTTCTCAGATTTAATTTAGTAATGCTTAAGAAGAGTAGGTGGTTGTCTATTGGACAGTTCAGTTAGAGACTGAATTACAAGAACAACTGAAAATTACATAATTATTTTAAATCCCAGTTAACATGGGGAGAGTAACTTGCTCTGAAGCTTTGCCTGAATTGCTGCTGCAAAGGATTAGTTACTTTTTGTGTGTTGTTCAGTTTACTTCTAGCTTTATCTCAAACAACTATGCAAAGCTTTTTTAATAAGGATGTTCTTAAGATGACTTTGTCAGTAGGATCTAAGAAATCATATGAATTATTGAAAAATATTTTGTCTCAAATCCTTTATTTTCCTATTGGCTTTCTAAAGACCATCCCAGTCCAGTCCCTTGAGCAACTATAGGAGACTTCAAGGTTGGAAGAACTTTGAGGACACAAAGTTGTATGCACAATGGCAAAGGCTAATAAAAAAAAAAAAAATGTATATACCAAAGGAGATAGTTTTTTGTCCTGTTCTTACTTACATCAGTAGATACTCTGCAGTTAAATTCAGTGGGAGTGGGACAGCATTGCAATTCCTTGATATAGTCAGTGAGCTTGTTTGCTTGTTAAAAACTTTTGCATTATAGAGGTATTTAATAGACATTAATTACGTGTTGGGTTTTTTTCCCCTCCTGCAGCCATCTTGTTTGAATGTGTCCAGACAATTTATACAATTCATCCTAAATCTGAACTGCTTGAAAAGGCTGCCAAGTGCATTGGAAAATTTGTTTTGTCACCCAAAATTAATTTAAAATACTTAGGTAAGGATACCTGATTTCATTAAGATTTTTAGTTTGGTCATAGTAGAATACATTCTTTTATATAATTTCCAATCACTTATATTCTAGGTTTAAAGGCTCTGACCTATGTTGTCCAGCAGGATCCTAATCTGGCACTTCAGCACCAGATGACAATAATTGAATGTCTAGACCATCCAGATCCCATTATTAAAAGGGAGGTCAGTGAATTTTTAAACATAAAAAATTAAGTTACTTTTTAAGATAGGTGATGGGTTTTCTAAAATGAGTAGTGTAAAAGGCATGTTATGTCTCAGTTATTGTGAGCGAGCAGTTATGAACCATATTAATGTGATAAGTCATCAGAGGCAATTAAATACATTTTTTGCTTTCTCTTTCAGACTTTAGAGCTTCTCTATAGAATTACAAATGGACAAAATGTAACTGTCATAGTGAAGAAGATGCTTGACTACTTAAAAGAAAGCAAGGAAGAATATACTATCATCAGCCTAGTTGGCAAAACAGCAGAACTAGCTGAGAAATATCCTTTTATTTTTCTGAACTAGCTGAGAAATATCCTTTTATCTTTCTGAACTAGCTGAGAAATATCCTTTTATCTTTCTGAAACTTTGGAGTCAGAGCTCAGGCAAATGTAGCATTTGTACCTTTCAGATCATCTTTCATGATCTTTGGAAGCAGGAAATGTTACAGCTGAGCTTTTTGTCCTTTCAAATGCAAAAGAAAGTGCATACAGAAATGACCACAGTGTTTCTTGTATTTCACTGAGAGAAAGTAATAGCAGTCAAAATACTTTATTTTGTCTTTGGAGTTTAGCATTAAAACCTTATTTCTTTAAATAAGTCTTAAATAAGGCAGTCTGGTGAAGTTCCCACAGACTGGAA